GTCAGCTCTCACTTCCATACATCACTACTGTAAAAACCATAGCTTTGACTATGCAGACTTTTGTCTGCAAGGTGATGTCTCTGCTTTTTAAGATGCTATCTAGGTTTGTCATCGCTTTCCTCCCAAGAAGCAGGTGTCTTTTAATTTCATGGCTGCTATCACCATCTGCAGTGATCATGAAGCCCAAGAAGGTAAATCTGTCACTGCTTCCATATCTTCCCCTTCTATTTCCCAGGAGGTGACGGGGCCAGTGGCCATGATCTTAATTTTTTTTATGTTGAGCTTCAGACCATTTTTTGCACTCTCCTCTGTCACCCTCATTAATAGGTTCTTTAATTCCTCCTCACTTTCTGCCATCAGAGTGGTATCATCTGCATATCGGAGGTTGTTGATATTTCTTTCAGCAATCTTAATTCCAGTTTGGGATTCGTCCAATCCAGTCTTTCGCATGATGTATTCTGCATATAAGTTAAATAAACAGGGGGACAATATACAGCCTTGTTGTACTTTCCTCATTTTGAACGTGTGAAATGAGTGCAATTGTATGGTAGTTGGAGCATTCTTTGGAGCTGCCCTTCTTTGGGATTGGGATGTAGAATGATCTTTTCCAATCCTCTGGCCACTGCTGGGTTTTCCAGACTTGCTAGCATATTGAGCGTAGCACCTTAACAGCGCCATCTTTTAAGATTTTAAATAGTTCAAGTGGAATGCCATCACCTCAACTGGCCTTGTTGTTAGCCATGCTTTCCAAGGCCCACTTAGTCCTCCAAACTAGCTAGACACTAATAGCAGAATCTTCCACAATTGCATGGTGGCATATGGAATTTTCTAGAGGAATTGTAGGTAGTCCAAGGATTTGTTTTGTCTTCAGTTTAAATAACAACTCCAATAAACAGTATTATGTATGGTACTGGTTTGTATGAGTTCTTTTTCTTTTTCTTTTAATATGGTTCTGGCGCCCTTTGTTTCAGATCTTAGTGAAACTGTGCAGCTTTGTGTCCCCGGCAGAAGAGCTTGCCCAGAAGGATGATCTTCAGCTTTTATTCAGTGCAATAACCTCATGGTGCCCTCCTTATAACCTGCCTTGGAGGAAGAGTGCGGGGGAAGTACTTATGACCATATCACGTCATGGCCTTAGTGTCAATGTAGTGAAATACATTCACGGTTGGTATATTTTTTGTAAACTTAGTAGAATATTCTTATGTTGTAAAATGTATTTCTGTCAAACTGCCTGCTTATCTTGTTGTGCAATACATAAATAAGGAGTAGTTGCATACTTTTCTAATAAAGGGGGTGGGTGAGATGGGAATAGAATGAAAGAATATTATATGGGTATGTAACATTGAAATGAGGTTGCTGGCTTGCTGGACTAGAGACAGGAAGCAGAGTTTTCCTTCCACTTACCATAATTCTGATAATTATTCAACAAATCATAGAATACTGTACTTGAAGAATATCCAATATTTGTTACTGCTGTTCAGCATCTAGTATTCCCTGATTTCAGCATATGATGTTCGCATGTGCAAAGCTGTGCCGCTGGTCCCAAAAATCATGGCAGGGCCAAAGCTATTCACAAAGCACTTCCATATGCATGCCATGCAAAAGGCTAAATGGAAGAATCTTGGGGTTGGTAGTTCAATCTTACTGTGCAATCTGGACTGCTTGGATATAATGTCCAGTAGGTTTATATAGGTGTAACTTCATGTTACATGAAGACAAACAGGAGCTCAGTTAGTATTTTATAATTTTTATGATTAATCCTTTTCAACATTTCTTAGTTGGAACTTCTCAGACACCAAACAGCCAAAAACAAAGTGCTCCCAGGAACATTTTTGTGGCCCCCAGTAAATCCCATGTTTGGCCGGAAAAAGCCATTTTAGCTCCTGGAAGCATTAAGTGATTATGGTTTTTAGTTTAGAGGTCAGGGGGAATTCCCTAAGACTGCCCACCTCTAAACAAAATGCAGGTAGAAACTGTACATGTCTCTTTGGACACTTCTGACTTTTTAAAACAATACATTTCTGGAATTTCTGGACCCAGTAAAGCCTGCTGTGGATTCTGGGGATAAGAATTCGGGTCCCCAATCTTGGTGACATCAATCACCCCTGTTCTAAAGCATTTATATTTTAGAGATGTTTGAATGATGACCTCAATTTCTGAAATTTCATTGCAGGATTAGAGTTCATATGAGTGGCTGTGGGCCAATCATGATGCAAAGGTTCTGTTTCTCCTTTGTGAAACAGTAATATTGATGTGGATATTGGAGAGGGAGAATATTTCAGTTCCTGGGTCCAGTGAAGAAGGGATGAGTTATAACTTTGAGTCATGGTAGTCAAACATGCTACATATCACTTTATGGTGTGCCATATACTTCATAAACTCTCCTATATCTGTTTTCTGACTAGGGTGACAAAAATTGATGGTGCAGTGCGAGGAATCTGGCATGTCACAGTATAGTTATGTTTTTAAACTGGCTACTCAAGTATGTTCAGCCAGGGAACAATCAATTTGACAGGCCTGTTCTGAATTAGTAATAATGATGCCATAACAGAGACAATGGGGGTGTAATTTGTGTATCTCAGCAGGGCTCCCAAATTCCTAAAGTTCCAGAACACTCTGCACAGTAGTTTCTCACATGAATGTTTGTGGTTTTGTAACTCCAAATGATGTTGAAATCACCCAAGTATGGTTCCTGTTTCTTGTTTATGCTTGATAAAGCATTAGGTCCTTATTTGTTGCTTCTGTTCCACTCCTTCGCAACTATTTTTTAAAAATTTGTGGGAGATGGAAATAAATTAAATCAATGCTATTTGCCATTCCAATTTCTGAGCATGCCACACATAGTGCCTGAGAAAATTTGCTTGTAAGTTAGTAGTACAGGTCAAATAATTATTAAGGATAAATATTCTGGTTCTGTTCAAGTACATCTCCTCTTATTGTCTTTGAAGTAAGCTCCAACAATGTAAGTCTTCTGTAACATAGAAACACCTGTTTATTTTCATGTGTTGAGTAAGGATCTGTTTCTTGAAAATAAATGTGTTCAAATCTGCTTGTGCTTTATGCAGCTGTCTTCTAATAAACAGTATAATCTGAAATCATAGCCAAAATCCTGCTGCATAAATTACTTCTTCAGATTTTACTGGCAGCAGGAGAGTTTTGGTATTTAAACTCCTCCTTCTGTCCCAGTGTTTGGTTGACACATGTGTATTCAGTTTCATTGTATGCAAGCTGTGGAAGCCCTGATATGGAACATGTCTTTGTTAACTGAACATCTCTTCCTGCCAGTAGCAGTATGGGAATTTTTCAATATTTGAAGAGTTCCTCTTCCTGTTCTCAGGTTCCCGTGGTTTACATGCAGTGAAACTGATTATGCTAAGTCACACAAACTGTGGGGCAGAAGGATGAACTCTTTAATTACTGAAAATCTTCCCCTGCAGGTTATGCCATCACACTTGCACAGGTGGAATGTATGCAATAGGATTACTGTGCAAATGCCATTGAAGTTCAAATACTGATCTGCTCTTTGATCAGAATTGCTTTTATTAGTAAAGCCCAAAGTAAACATTATGTACAGTGGTGCCTCGTAAGACGGGCACTCCGTTTAATGACAAATCCGCATTACGACAAGGTTTTTGCGATCGCAAAAGCAATCGCAAAATGACGTTTTGGATGGGGGAATTTCGCTGTGCAATGATCGGTTCCCTGTTTCGGGAACCGATTTTCGCTTCCCGACGATCAAAACAGCTGATCATTGGGGTTTCAAAATGGCCACCGGGTGCTCAAAATGGCTCCCCGCTGTGTTTAGGAGCCATTTTTTGCTGCACAGGCACCCGAAAATGGCCGCTCCATGGAGGATCTTCACTGGACGGTGAGTTCTTAGCCGATTGGAACACATTAACCAGGTTTTAATGCATTTCAATGGCTTTTTTATTTTCGCTTTACGACGTTTTCATTCTACAGCGATTTCGCTGGAACGAATTAACGTTATAATGCGAGGCACCACTGTATATGACTTGGTTGCACTTTTGTGTAGTTTGCAAGCTTACTTTCTTATTTTTCTGTTAGCAGTTTGAGCTTCCATTGTCCATACTTAAAACAAAAACATGTTTATATCTAGGTTTTGTGTGTTGCTTCAAAAGGCTGAACAGAGTACTTAGAACATTTTGTCTGTTTTGTCAGCCAGTTTTATGATAACTGAACATTTCCGTATTACATGGATAGGGTATCTTTGAGGTAGGCTCCATTGAGAGAGAAAGTGACTTGCTGAGGTGCATGGCTTAATGGAGAACAGAATGTAGGACTTCTGTGCACAAACATAGCACATGTTTTATGCAGAATTGTTAATATACACATTTAAGCAGGCTCATAGGAATTTCACAATGGAAAAGAGAAGAAGGAACCTTATTGAAAGGGAGTGGGATTTTTGTTTGAAATCTGTTTTGCACATTGTAAGTGCTGAAAGAAGTGAATGTCTTGGTGATTTATGCTTCCAGGTAACACATGAAGAGGTCAACGATATTTATGTCGCTTGTAAATGGCGGATGTTACAGATGTGTGCGAAATCAGAATATATTTCCAATTTCCCCTTTTTGTACACACCAGGAATCGATAAACAGAAATCTGGCTGTTTTAGGCATCTACCATATTTTTCCATATATAACCCATGTATAACTTTTCTAACCCAGAATTTATTTCTTCGCAAGAAAGTGGAGGCGGAAGGCAGGGATCAAAGTGCTTTGATTACTGCTTTCCCCCTCCACTTTCTTGGGAAAAAAGTGTTTTTCCCTTCCACTTTCTTTGCAGAAAGCTGCTTTCCCCCTCACAAAAAGTGGAGGGAGAAAGCAGCTTTCTGAAAAGAAAGTGGAGAGGGAAAGAAGGAATTGCTTTCCCCCTCCACCCTCTTGCAAGGAAAGTGCTTTCCCCTTCTACTTTCTTTGCAAAAAGCTGCTTTCCCCCTCCACTTTCTTTGCAAAAAGTGGAGCGGGAAGGCAGGGATCAAAGCACTTTGATCCCTCCCCCCTCCTTACTACCATGTATAAAATGACTCTCAATTTCCCCTCTAATTATTTTAGGAAAAAGTGTCTTTTTATACACAGAAAAATACAGCGCTTTTCTTTTTTTCTCTCTTCTGTTTCATACTGTGTAAATTGATGCTAAAAGTCAATGTAGTTATTTTATTAATTGATGACAAAACATTTATTTTTGAAACTTGATGCTTGAAAGTTTCATGATACCAAGTCTGTGCATATTCATCTGAATTTACCAAAACATTCATCATAATGTTGAGAATGACTGTTATTTTGTTCTAATTGTATGTAAGATTTTGGGGTGAAATCCTACCTCCCAGAGTGGTAGAATATACCAGATGGGCGGGATATAAATCAAATAAATAAATAAATTCTTATTTGATATATTTGCAGAAAAAGAATGCCTGTCAACATGTATTCAGAACATGCAGCAATCAGATGACCTTTCTCCCTTAGAAATAGTAGAGATGTTTGCTGGCCTTTCTTGCTTCCTCAAAGATTCCAGTGATGTCTCTCAAACATTATTAGATGATTTTAGGATATGGCAAGGATACAACTTCCTCTTTGATCTCTTACTCAGGTATGCAAGGCAGTTTTTATTTTCTTCTTTAAATGTTTTTCTTTCTCTCAGCTTATGAAACCATAGATTTGGTTAAATTTTTGAAAATTTTCCACTTCTTAAAATGAATACGGTTCTAGCTGGATCTATAAAGAAATTAGACCATCTCATAGCAGAGCTGCCGTTTAATTTTGTTCCACAGCAGTGTGATATAGGGGCATGATTTAAAAAGTCCATGTCAAAATGCAAACTTCGGTGTCATGGCTGACGGATGCTTGGATAATTTTGAAGGACAAGTCATATAGGGAGCTAACTGGTTTAACTACTTTCTGCAGGTGGCTTGATCTATTTTTTAAAAATTCTAATTCCAGCCTTGGTTTTTGAAACAATTAAATCTGCAGTGTTCCTAAAATGTAATTACCAGTGTCCTCTTGTGGATTGCTGTCTTCACAACAGGAGTGATGTCGCTGGAAGAGGCAGGTTGCTGTTGATTAAAGAGTTCCTTTCTGGATTTCAGAGAGTGCATAATTTCCTATAATTGCATAAAAGGTGCTTGTACCCTGAAATTGCAGAAAGAAGTCTTAGGGGCAATCTGCTGTGCTAGTGATGCCACTATACAACAGGATGCTGGACAGTTTGTATAGCATTAGCAAATAACATTTGATTTCCTTTGGTTTGTTAGCTAGTTTTATATCAGATTTTCTAAATATAAGTGCTTGTACAGAGCAAATCTTTTCTGTAGCTGGATATTGCCTAAAACAAAGGGATATGTGGAGTTATTAATGTTGTTGATTTGGTGTTGTATTAGAAAACTGTCTTGGGTTTTGGGCTCATGAAAAATCAGCTGTTTCAGTGATGTGATTTTGTTGTTGGTTTCCGTTCAGAGAGGTTACATGATTTATTACCATTTTCTTTTTGCACAATTGTGGCAAAACTGGAAATTGTAGCCTCCCTTATCATCTGTAAAGAAGGATGGAGAGTGGAAGAACTGGCAAGATGATTGGTGAACATTATATTTTCCTTCCCTATGAAGCATAATAGCCCTTTAGTTAGTTTTGAATTTAAATAGCTGGGACTGTAAGGGACATGGTGGTGCTGTGGATTAAACTGCAGAAGCCTCTGTGCTGCAAGTTCAGAAAACCTGCAGTCGTAAGATCGACTCCACATGACGGAGTGAGCCCCTGTCATTTGTCCCAATTCCCACCAACCTAGCGGTTTGAAAGCATGCAAAATGCAAGTAGATAAATAGGTACCACCACGGTGGTAAGGTAACGGTGTTCCGTGTGTAGTCGTGTTGGCCACGTGACCACGGAAGATTGTCTTCGGACAAATGCTAGCTCTATGGGTTCGAAACGGGATGAGCACTGCCCCCTAGAGTCAGACACGACTGGACAAATTGTCAAGGGGAACCTTTACCTTTACCTATTACTGTATTAATAGAGGTGGAATGGGAGGATGATAATTAGCGGTTAAAAAACCTAGAGAATTTCCAGGTGATATTTCTTCTTTGAGGATATTTACATACGTTAATAACTAGAAAAAAATCTGTATGATATGGTAGTTTCAACTGTCACGTTTTTTAAATTCACTTTTACACTGGTTGTTGTGAGTTTTTTGGGCTCTTTGGCTGTGTTCTGAAAGTTGTTCTTCCTGACGTTTCGCCAGTCTCTGTGGCCGGGATCTTCATAGGACTGGAGTAGGAACTCCGTCCATGCTCCTCTAGTCCTTTGAAGATGCCGGCCACAGAGACTGGCGAAACGTCAGGAAGAACAACCTTCAAAACACGGCCCAAGAGCCCGAAAAACCCACAACAACCTATAGATCCCGGCCGTGAAAGCCTTCACGAATACATTCACTTTTACACTGCTACTCTTAATCTACCAGCTGAATCAAACAATACTGGTTTCTCCATCCTGCATCTTGCCTAGGAAGAAAATCCCTTATTCAAATTTCTTGCATTAAAAATGCCCATTATTGCAAGAGTGGGTGTTTATTAAATTGATATCACATTTAATTTTGTGATTTAATTGTTGAAGATTAATTCCAACTGTTCTGACAGACTCGAATAGCAGATGTACTGAATTCTGTTTTTTTCAGTTGCATGTTTGCAAGCGGATGGGTGTTTTTGACTTCTTTTAGGGACAAGTGTTACAAGGATGATACACCTAGTTATGGCTCTTTTGAGAGTGCTTCCTGGGTGCTAGTCTAGTTGGTGTGGCGGTTTTCATCCTGCAGCTAGGCAGTTGTAATCAGAGCCAGTCAAGGCCATTGAAAAGGATTTGTGGTACCCAGAAGGCAATTATTTTTACCACTTGTCTGAATGTATGGGCTATAATCAACCCTGACCATAATTTGGAACACTAATTAACAAGAACTGTCCTTTTAAAAATCAGCTGTGATTATTTTCTTTTAAAAATAGTCTAAATAGTTGTTCAAATGAATGCCATTTTTCTGTCCCCACATTCCCCTTGCAGGTTAGAACAAGCAAAAGAAGCAGAATCTAAAGATGCTTTGAAGGACTTGGTTAATCTGATAACCTCACTAACAACATATGGTGTCAATGAATTAAAACCGGCTGGTGTTACAACAGGAGCACCCTTTCTGTTGCCTGGATTTGCTGTCCCTCAACCTGCTGGCAAAGGTGAAACATCATTTAAAAAAACCTCATTTATGCAAAATGATATGTGAAATTAGTTGTATGTGTCCTTGGTTTGGTTTGAAAATTGAAATATTCCCAGTACTCTCACTCTCAGGTGTATACACCTGGGTATCTTCATAAACATTTCTAAATCTCCTTCTTTTAAATTTGTTTGAACATCTTGGATTTTTTACTACATTCTTACATTTGTGTTGTAAGGGAATCTGTAACTGAAATTTAGGTTGCTTCAGATTTTGAATTATTATGTAGAATTTTTAGACATTCTAATCCAAAGTATGCCTATCTAAATCCGCTCCTTTTTGTTTTTGTAAGAAATGTGAACTTACACAAGTTCCCTACCCTTGCTTTGTAGGCTCAATTCATAGGCATATATTTGTACCCAAGGACTTTAATTCAGCTTCCATGAATTATATGCCTTCCCTGGTATGCGTAAATAGTGATCTGCCTGCAAAAGTTCCTGATTTTTATGTTTTTCTGTTATAGGTCACAATGTGAGAAATATCCAAGCCTTCTCTGTTCTACAGAATGCTTTTCTGAAAGCAAAAACCAGCTTCCTTGCACAAATTATCCTTGATGCCATCTTAAATATATACATTGCTGACAATGCCAACTATTTCATCCTGGAATCCCAGCACACTTTGTCCCAATTTGCAGAGAAAATTTCTAGGCTTCCAGAAGTACAGGCCAAATACTTTGAGATGCTTGAATTTGTTGTCTTTAGTTTGAATTACATACCTTGCAAAGAACTTATTAGTGTCAGCATTCTCTTAAAATCCAGCAGCTCTTACCAGTGTAGCATCCTTGCAATGAAGACTTTGCTTAAGTTCACACGGCATGACTACATCTTTAAAGATGTATTCAGGGAGGTTGGACTTCTGGAGGTGATGGTGAATCTTTTACATAAGTATGCAGCTCTTTTGAAAGATCCAACACAGGCTCTGAATGATCAAGGTATATAGTTTTCTCCTTTATTTTGAATTCTGCTTTGCATAGCTCTTTTCCAGTCTCCACTACTTCTTTTTTCTTGTAGAGGAAGTACCCCTGTTTCCCCAAAAATAAGACCTAACCTGAAAATATGTCCGAGTATGATTTTTCACGATACTCGTAATACCCCCAAAATAAGCCCAGTTAAGTGAAACCCTGCCCTCCACCATTGTGAGGGAACCGGAATAAGACTGTATTTGAATAAATGTAGATTGTTGTACATTTTTTAAAAAACCCTGAAAATAAGCTCTAATACATTTTTGAAGCAAAAAATTAATATAAGCCCCTGTCTTATTTTTGGGGAAACACGGTACATATGTATTCCATTACTTCCTAAAATCAGATGGTTCTTTTCACAAATACATATAATTTCAGACCTACTTACAAAGCCACTTTTGAGCTTCTCCTTAGATGAGCAGTTTATTTCAGAATATCACAAGGCACACTGTCTTCAGATTTGAAACAGTTTAGCCCTCAAAAGCAGAATACACCACCTGCTATTAGGCATTCATTTTTAGAACGGTTGTACTTGAGGCTTCATATATAATATTGGAGAGAGATACAACATTAATGAGAGGAAAGATAAGAGCAGAAGACATGTAATCATGTGTGTGTGATATATCATTGTAGCATCTCAAATTTTTCTAGGGGACTCAAGAAACAACAGTACATTTGAAGACCAAAAGCAACTCGCCTTGTTGGTTATGGAGACCTTGACAGTATTGCTCCAAGGATCAAATACAAATGCAGGTATTTGACATAGGACTGATAAAATGAGCAGAGTTTTCCCTCTTACATTGATCATCCTCACCCTTGAATGCTTGTAGTTCTATAGACTTGGTTTTATCTGATCTTCAGAAATATGGGAATTCATTGTGAATTTTTTTTAACCTTGAAGGGGAAGGATGTAATAAGAGCAGAATACTAGATTTCTTTATTTTCCTTTGTCAAAATAATCATTTTCTTTTGTGACATACTGATTGCAGCCTACTGCAGGAGGTGAACTTATTTATAATACAATCCCATTAAAATATTTAAATGTATAGTTTAAGAATGAGTTAATTGAAAAAGAAAAGTGCATTTTGAGAAGCTGTACTTTGCCTCCATAATATTTAAAATTACACATGTTAAGTGTTTTCCTACAAGTTTCAAATACTTTTAAAGAGCAGCAAGTAAAGTTGTCTTGTATTTATTTGTTGATTTATAGCAGGGGTCCCCAAACTTTTTACCCCGAGGGCCATACCGGATACTTTCAAGGTCTTAGAGGGCTGAAGGAACAGGAACGTACACATGCATGCACACACACCCCCCGCATGCGCTCACAGGGTTAAGGGAATGGGACAGATAAAATGGCAAGGTAGGCCGTAGTTTGGAGACACATAATTTACAGCAACACTGTCAATTATTGCAATACTCATAGCTAGCATTGAGCACTGGAAGACAAATCCAAGAATAATTTAAAAGCTCTGGCTCAAAACCAGCTCTTTATGTATCATACAAATAGAACATTCTGGTTTTAGTATTGTTAGTGAACTGAATTATGAAGATTTGATCAGGAAGGGCAAATGTTCCCATTGTAGTTGTGACAAGCAGAGGGGCTTGGGCAAGCCAGAGGAGAGACAGGACAGTGAGACATCTGTGAACTTCCTGATCTCTTAGTCCTCATACCTTCTGTAATGATTTGTGGTGTCAATTATTTACATGATTTTACTTGTTTGGTGTAACTGCTTGTTCTAGAGCTTAATTCTAAAGATTAACTATTATGTCTGAGTTGACATAGTTTAATTTGTATTCTACAGCTTGATTTTTAAAGATTAACTATTATGTCTGAGTTGACAGCTAGGACAGACATTTGCATAACTGTGCTCCAGCTGCTAATGTGTCTAGGTTGACATGAGGGTAGTGTAGTTAGTGCTTTTGAATTTGTTTTCTTTGCAGGTATCTTCAGAGAGTTTGGTGGAGCAAGATGTGTACATAACATAGTCAAATACCCACAATGCAGACAGCAGGCACTGATGATAATCCAACAGTTGGTGTTATCATCAAGTGGTGATGATGACATGGGGACTCTCTTAGGATTGATGCACTCTGCTCCACCTACAGAATTGCAGCTGAAAACAGACATATTAAGGGTAAGTTCAGTATTGCAGAATTTATAGCTGCATTAAAACTTCTAATGATGTCTCTGTTTCAGTCATAGTTATTATATATTAATTCATGTCTTTTCTGCTTGTGGGGTTTTACGCTTAAAAGCAGGCTAGAAAATTTACATAAATAAAATTAATATCTTAATCTGAAATTGACATGTGCCTCTTGTGAACTGAAATAAATTCTTGAGGCAGGAAATTGAAATCTTAAGACTTCTCTGGAAACTATAATTCAAATTGAAGTTTCTACAGTATGCATAGAAAACCTGTTTTTTGCCTGAATGATTTCCTGTTTACGATGTATTTTCTAACGTACATCAGAAATGGCCTGCAACTATTTATTATTATTGTTCTTCTGGATATTTTCTATACTGCATCTTTTTTGATTCTACAACTTAAATTTTTCAAAACTGATACTATTTTTAATTTTATTTTAATGAAAGAATATAGAGAAATTTAGATACAAGGTAGACATTGTGAAAGACAAAATATGAAAAACTTACTTCCTGGTTATCGTTTCACAGAGATTTGTTCCTACCTTTTTAAACTAGAATTTACACGACAAGGGAATTTCACCATTGTAGATTTGCATTGCATTATATTGTGCTTTTTGACTCAAATCCTGAAAGTTACCTGCAATCATTGTTCAGTATTTGTTCAATGTGACTGTTACAGAGCAGACTATAAATTTAAATTTTTAGCTGTTTAAAGCAGGGAGAGGATTTGTCTGCAGGGGAAGGGATAGGACATTAGCACTCATTTTTAATACTTATACCAACTATTCAGCACATAGCATAAATTAAAGATTACAGTGGTGCCTCGCTAGACAGTCACCCCGCATGACAGTATTTTCGCTAGACATTGACTTTTTGCGATTGCTATAGCGATTTGCAAAACTGATTCCTATGGGGGAATTTCGCTGGACAATGTTTGGTCCCTGCTTCGCAAACCCGATTTGCAAAACTGATTCATATGGGGGAATTTTGCTGGACAATGTTGGGTCCCTGCTTCGCAAACTAATTTTAGCTAGACAACGATTTTTACAGCTCCCTCCGTGCTCGCAAAAAGGGTGTTTTTGGGACCTAAGCTTCCCAAGACAGCTATTTAAACAGCTGATCGGTGGTTCGCAAAGCGGCTTTCCTATGGCCGATCTTCGCTAGACAACAACGATTCTTCCCCATTGGAACACATTAAACAGGTTTCGATGCGTTCCAATGGGGAAATACTTTTCGCTAGACGATGATTTTGCTAAACAGCGATTTCAGTGGAACGGATTATCATTGTTTAGTGAGGCACCACTGTATTTTTCTTCTGCCTAACACACACTGGACCTGACATGGTGGAAGTGGTCCTATTGCTGAAATTTGCCAGGGGGAAGGGAGATGATATCTTTAAAAGGCACCATAGGACCTCTGCTCAACCAGTTTATGGTGTTATGTCTTCTGTACTAGAGGAGAGTAAAGTGGCCATTGGAACAAACAGGTGTGAAAAAGAGATCCAGAAAATTTATAGGTTTACTGGCTAGCTGAACATTGGGTAGATTAATGGAAATCATGACTTCTGCAGAGAAACACACCCTGTGCTAACCTTTAAAAGAGCTATCTGAGACTGTTGCCAGGCAAGTAGGTTAGGATCTCCACTGGACATTGACATGGAGTTGAAAATGCTGATTTCAGTGTCCAACAATTGTGAAAAGCACAGTTTCTCCTTGGGGGATCATTAGGAAATAAATTATACTGTATTTCCCTGAAAGTAAGAAAGAGTCTTATATTGGTTGTTGTGGGTTTTTCAGGCTATTTGGCCGTGTTCTGAAGGTTGTTCTTCCTGACACAACCTTCAGATCCCGGCTGTGAAAGCCTTCGCGAATGCAGAGTCTTACATTAATTTTTGCTCAAAAATGCATTAGGGCTTATTTTCAGGGGATGTTTATTCTTTTCATGTAAACCATCTACATTTATTCAAATGCAGTCATGTCATCTGGCTGCTGCACAATAGCGGAGGCTGGGGTTTCACTTAACTGGGGCTTATTTTTGGGTCAGGCTTATCTTATGAGTATCCTGAAAAATCATACTAGGGCTTATTTTTAGGGGTAACAGGATAAATTAAACCGCCAATTTTATGATGTATAAAAATTCAGCAGAAAATTGTGGTGTGGCCACATTTGGAAAATTGATTAGCACATCCAAAAGAGTTGGGGAAAGTGCAGAAAAATGCAAGACCAATGATCAAGGGGCTGAAGCAACTCTCCTGCACGAAAGGGTTACAATGTTATCTAGTCTGGAGCTTAGATAAAAGAGAGGTAAAGGTATGTCCAGTTATGCAAGTTGTGGATAAAAATAGAATTTGGGGACATGGAATGGAGCTGAGTAGTAGAAGATTCGTAATGGGGGGGGGAAGCAAACCATTTCTTCACACAGCATATAATTAAATTATGCCATGTACTACTACAGAATACTAGATAGCATGGTTGGCTTTAAAAGAGCATAAGTCAAATCCATGGCTGTCAGGGAGTACTAGTCATAATGCATTTATATGACCCTCCTACATCAGAGGCAGTATGCCTCTCAGTTCCAGTTACTGGAAAACACAAAAAGGAGCCTGCCCTCTTGTCCTGCTTTTGGGTTTCCTTCGGGCATATGATTGGGCACTCGGGGAACATTATGCTTCCTGCATTGACTGTTGCTCTGATCTAACACACGTCTTACATTCTATCTTGTTTTCCATTTTAAAGGGTATGTCATGGAGCTCTACATAAATCCTTAAACTTTAATTGTTGTAAGCCGCCCAGAGACCTGTGAGTAGTGTGGGTGGCATATAAGTTAAATAAATACATAAAGATTTTATGTTTATGTAGAGATTTATGTGACATAAATGGTTCCTTGTAGCATTTGATTTTGAATAGTTTCCCCTAAGCAGAGATACACAGTTATGTATGAGAGAAATTCACATTTTGCATGTCTGGTAAATCATAGAGCAGAATTCATAGAATTAATAGGATAAGATGGTAACTAAAATGGTCTTTATATCAATAAAGGAGGAGTGACTTTTAATCACATGACTTTTTTGGGGGTAATGTTTCTAATGTCTGGGTCCAGATGCTTCAGGTAAAGCTTAGAAATCCCTCAGTGTTGCAACGTGTGCCTAGTTAGTCCATGTGGTGTCCTGTTCATTTTGCTTTGTTTAAATATCCATGTAGGCCCTGCTGTCTGTGCTGAAAGAGAGTCATCGCACAAGAACCGTTTTCCGAAAAGTTGGTGGATTTGTATATGTCACATCATTACTTGTTGCCATGGAAAAATCCTTGTGTTCGCCACCTAAGAATGGCTGGGAGAAAGTGAACCAAAACCAGGTGTTTGAGCTGCTCCACACGGTTCTCTGCACCTTGACTGCAGCAATGCGTTATGAGCCAGCCAACTCGCACTTCTTCAGAACAGAAATCCAGTATGAAAAGCTGGCTGATGCTGTGAGGTTACTTGGCTGCTTCTCAGACTCCAAGAAATTAAGTCCTTTGAACATCTTTCCCTCCAATACCCAACCATTTCAAAGACTTTTGGAAGATGACCTCATCTACATGGATTCTGTGTCACCTACTTTAAGGCATTGCAGCAAACTCTTTATATACCTCTACAAAGTAGCTACAGATTCCTTCGACAGGTAGGATTTGTGAGGTTTTGGGCAGATTCCTGAGTATACAGGTATTTGGATATAACTTTTGTGCACTCTAGTATTTCTGTACTATGTTATTAATTCTTATTTTCTCCTGAGATTGATAATAGCCAATCTTTATTTTAAAAAAACTCCAAGTAGTTCAGAGCCAGTGGCTTTTTCCTCCCACATTTAGAACAATGTATGTGCAAAACACAATGGAGAGAAAAGATGATATTGGAGAAGAAGATCTAATTTCAAGTAAACAGCCTTACCTGTTCTTTGTGAATAAACAACAGGTTTCAATATTTTCAATAGAAAGGGGAATTTTGTCAAGTTGAACAGAAATCACGTCTACTAATTTCTCCCTTCAAACAGTTCTTAAAGACATGAGAGCCCTACTCCTTCTACATTGACATACGATACTTATGAAACCAACTGCCTGTTATTCATACCATTTAGGAATTCATGGAATGGGACATATATTTACTTTAGGGTTCTTAATTTAGAAGAGAGTTTTCCTAGACTATTAATTTTAGGATTTGTGTAGCACAAATCAACATCTGATTCTTTTAACCCATTCTAAAATATTTCTTTTTCAATCCATATTCTAAATGTTATGATTTAAATAATAAATAATAAAGTTTGAAGAACATTTATGTTCTGAAATATTCAGCAGTAGCTGACTTCTGGTGCTATAAGTTTAATGACTATTAATGTTAGGATTTTTAAACTTATACCTATATTAATTTTTTTCCAGCATAGAAAAAGATAGAGAAAAAGAATCTTGTTGTAGCTGTCAGACTAATAGCTTTATTTTGGCATGCACTTTGTGGACTAAAATATGCTTTGTCTAATGAATGGGTATAATATGCCTCAAAAATAAATGCACAGTCCAATGATCAGTGGCTCCTTATTTCAAATATTAATGGACTGGATTTTTACAAAGGTTTTATGTTCAACAACTTTTTTTCTTCAGAAAGGGCAGTGAGATGCAGCAAGGCACTCTGACAGAGCCCATTGCTTTAGCAGTTCAGAGGTAATTAACAGCCTTCCAACCAAGTGAATTTGTGTTATTAATTGACAGAACATCATTAATTAACTACCTTACTATATTAGTTAACTGCCACAATGTTTTTGTTAGTCATCCCTTTGAAAGTATATGATCAGTGTTAACATGCAGCTGTCATTTTCTGTATCCTATTTCATTCTAATTCCATCACCAGAGTCATAACTACAGTGTATGGGTACCTGATTCTTGAATACTGTACTCATGCATCTGAAGAAATCCACAAAAAGTCATGCTAAAATAAAACTATTTGCCTTAAAGTCAGTACAAGACTTCTTTTTCCTTTTTAATGTTAATATTAGGATCGGAAACCAAATATATACTCTGCTACAACCAACCTTTTTTGCAATATCTATCTGTTTGTCTGTCTGTCTGTCTGTCTGTCTGTCTGTCTGTCTGTCTGTCTATCTATCTATCAATCAATCAATCAATCAATCTATTTATTTATTTATTTATTTATTTGATTTTTACCCCGCCCCTCTAGACCATGTCTACTCGGGGCGGCTTACAAAATAAAACAAAACAGTATAAAAATATATAAAA